GACACTCCACTAGTTACTTAACACTGACACTTGTGACACTCCACTAGTTACTTAACACTGACACTTGTGACACTCCACTAGTTACTTAACACTGACATTTGTGACACTCCACTAGTTACTCAACACTGACACTTGTGACACTCCACTAGTTACTTAACACTGACACTTGTGACACTTGTGACACTCCACTAGTTACTTAACACTGACACTTGTGACACTCTACTAGTTACTTAACACTGACACTTGTGACACTCCACTAGTTACTTAACACTGACACTTGTGACACTCCACTAGTTACTTAACACTGACACTTGTGACACTCCACTAGTTACTTAACACTGACACTTGTGACACTCCACTAGTTACTTAACACTGACACTTGTGACACTCCACTAGTTACTTAACACTGACACTTGTGACACTTGTGACACTCCACTAGTTACTTAACACTGACACTTGTGACACTCTACTAGTTACTTAACACTGACACTTGTGACACTCCACCAGTTACTTAACACTGACACTTGTGACACTCCACTAGTTACTTAACACTGACATATGTGACACTCCACTAGTTACTTAGCACTAACACTTGTGACACTCCACTAGTTACTTAGCACTGATACTTGTGGCACTCCACTAGTTACTTAACACTGACACTTGTGACACTCCACTAGTCACTTAACACTGACACTTGTGACACTTGTGACACTTCACTAGTTACTTAACATTGACACTTGTTACACTCCACTAGTTACTTAACAATGACACTTGTGACACTCCACTAGTTACTTAACACTGACACTTGTTACACTCTACTAGTTACTTAACACTGACACTTGTGACACTCCACTAGTTACTTAACACTGACACTTGTTACACTCTACTAGTTACTTAACACTGACACTTGTGACACTCCACTAGTTACTTAGCACTAACACTTGTGACACTCCACTAGTTACTTAACACTGACACTTGTGACACTCCACTAGTCACTTAACACTGACACTTGTGACACTTGTGACACTCCACTAGTTACTTAACATTGACACTTGTGACACTCCACTAGTTACTTAACACTGACACTTGTGACACTCCACTAGTTACTTAACACTGACACTTGTGACACTCCACCAGTTACTTAACACTGACACTTGTGACACTCCACTAGTTACTTAACACTGACACTTGTGACACTCCACTAGTTACTTAACACTGACACTTGTGACACTCCACTAGTTACTTAACACTGACACTTGTGACACTCCACTAGTCACTTAACACTGACACTTGTGACACTTGTGACACTCCACTAGTTACTTAACATTGACACTTGTTACACTCCACTAGTTACTTAACACTGACACTTGTGACACTTGTGACACTCCACTAGTTACTTAACGCTGACACTTGTTACACTTCACTAGTTACTTAACACTGACACTTGTGACACTTGTGACACTCCACTAGTTACTTAACGCTGACACTTGTTACACTCCACTAGTTACTTAACACTGACACTTGTGACACTCCACTAGTTACTCAACACTGACACTTGTGACACTCCACTAGTTACTTAACACTGACACTTGTGACACTCCACTAGTTACTTAACACTGACACTTGTGACACTCCACACTTAACACTGACACTTGTGACACCCCACTAGTTACTTAACACTGACACTTGTGACACTCCACTAGTTACTTAACACTGACCTTGTGACCCCCATAGTTACTTACATTGACACTTGTGACACTCCACTTTTACTTAACACTGACACTTGTGACACTCCACTAGTTACTTAACACTGACACTTGTGGCACTCCACTAGTTACTTAACACTGACACTTGTGACACTCCACTAGTTACTTAACACTGACACTTGTGACACTCCACTAGTTACTTAACACTGACACTTGTGACACTCTTAATTGCTCTTCATTCTTCCTACTTTAACGTGGGTTACTTTAATTCCTATTTTTTCTACTTTTCACTTTCTTTTCCGTCTATCTCTCTTCCTTGCACCCCTTCCTCTCTCCACCCCTTCCCCTCTTCACCCGTCCCCTCTCCCTCCATCCCCTTTTCCACCCTTACCTCTCTCCACCACCTCTTCTTCTCCCACCTCTCCTCTTTCCAATCTTTCCCCTCTCCACCCCCTCCCCTCTCCACCCCCTCCCTTCTCCACTCCTTCCCCTCTCCACCCCCTCCCCTCTCCACCCTCTTTCCTCTCCACCTCTCCCTTTCCACCCTTCTCCCCCTCTCCACCCCTCCCACTCTTCACCCCTTCCCTCTCCACCCTCTCCCCTCTCCACCCTCCCCAGTCCCTACCCCCCTCCCTGATCCACGCCCCTTCATCTCCACCCCTCTCTCGCCACCCACTACTGTCTCCAACCCTCCTATCTCTCCCGGCACCCCTCCTTTGTCCATCCCGTTCGCCTCGTCCGCTCTGTTCCTGCACTCCCGTCCCATCTCAGCCTCTCCGTCTGCACCACCCTTCTCTTCCTTGCATCCGCTCCATCTCCACCCCTCCTCCTCTAACCCCCCTACTCTCTCTCCCCCCACCCCCTCGTCTCCATCGCTTTACTGTCTTCCTCCAACCCCCTCCCCTGTACACCCCGCTGTCTTCACCCCTCCCCTCTCTTCCCCCATCCCCTCCCTTTCCACCCCCTCCGTCTCCATCGCTTTCCTGTCTTCCCTCCACCCCTCCCCTCTTTTCACCAATCCCCTATCTTCACTACCCACTTTCCCCTCTCTTCCCCCACCCAATCCCCTCCCTTCCCTCGTACGTAGTCTCTTTTCCATTTCAATAATGACCCCCCCCCCCGATTAGATAATCCCCTTACTCTTCCTCCCACTTACATAATCTCACACCCGCTCTTTCCCCTTCCCCCACCTATCCATCCCTCCCCCTCATCCCCGGTCTACTCATTCCTTCTCCTTTCCTATCTTCTTTCCTCCCCACACGTCCCCCTCCCCCCCAAAAAGAAGCCCAACCCTCGCTTTTATTAGTACATAAGAAAAGTCACAATTCCCACAGGAATCTCATTTGCATATACTAAATGGAAAAAAAAGAATATTTTGAATTTTCTGCTGGGGAAATTCTAGAAGGAACATCGTGTGTACGGAGAATATATGACAGACATATACCGAGATGTATCCCGATGTTCCTGGCCTCTCTCTCCCCCTTCTTCAGGCGGCAGCCAGAGAAGCATCGCGATGACTGAATAATTCTGGCACCGTGTGTGTGTGTATGTGTGTGTGTGTGTGTGTATGTGTGTGTGTGTGTGTGTGTGTGTGTGTGTGTGTATGTGTGTGTGTGTGTGTGTGTGTGTGTGTGTGTGTGTGTGTGTGTGTGTGTATGTGTATGTGTGTGTGTGTGTGTGTGTGTGTATGTGTGTATATGTGTGTATGTGTGTGTGTGTGTATGTGTGTATATGTGTGTATGTGTGTGTGTATGTGTGTATGTGTGTATATGTGTGTATGTGTGTGTGTGTGTGTGTGTGTATGTGTGTGTGTGTGTGTGTGTGTGTATGTGTGTATATGTGTGTATGTGTGTGTGTGTATGTGTTATGTGTGTATATGTGTGTATTGTGTGTGTGTGTATGTGTGTGTGTATGTGTATGTGTGTATTGTGTGTATGTGTGTGTGTGTGTGTGTGTGTGTGTGTGTGTGTGTGTGTGTATGTGTGTGTGTGTGTGTGTGTGTGTGTGTGTGTGTGTATGTGTGCATATGTGTGTATGTGTGTGTGTATGTGTGTATGTGTGTATATGTGTGTATGTGTGTGTGTGTGTATGTGTGTGTGTGTGTGTGTGTATGTGTGTATTGTGTGTATGTGAGTGTGGGTGGTGATGTGTGTATGTGTGTATATGTGTGTATGTGTGTATGTGTGTTGTGTGTGTGTGTGTATGGTGTGTGTGTGTGTATGTGTGTATATGTGTGTATGTGTGTGTGTGTGTGTGTGTGTGTGTGTGTGTGTGTGTGTGTGTGTGTGTGTGTGTGTGTGTGTGTGTGTGTGTGCGCGTGGTGTGTGTGTGTGTGTGTGTGTGCATGTGGGGGGGACGGAGGATCGAGCCTCCAACTCTTCTCGTAGGAATGAGCCAACAAAATGAGTATTCCAGTTGATTCTAATGAAGATTATGCATGACCCTTACGGGTTTAGCGTTTGCATTTCAATAAAATAATAGCAATTCTGTTTGTGATAATAATAATAATATAATAATAATAATAATAATAACAATAATAATAATAATAATAATAATAATAAATAATAATAATAATAATAATAACAATAATAATAATAATAATAATAATAATAATAATAATAATAATAATAATAATAACAATAATAATAATAATAATAATAATAATAATAATAATAATAATAATAATAATAATAATAATAATAATAACAACAATAATAATAATAATATCTCTTGAAGAAACCGGAGCTTTTCTCCTCTTTCTAGATGACTCCACGCCCCCACCTCAGACTTCTATGCCACACCAGTGAAGGAGATGGAGAGGTGCAGCAGCTGAAGGCACCATCACAGGTAGGCGGGACCCCACTCGAGGCAGCAGATCACCCCCACAAGTTAGCCAAGGAGTTGTAGACATTGTTAACATGTGATCTGCATGTACTAGTGGGCCCCGCCCACCTGTGAGTCCGTCTCCAGCTGCTGCACCTTACCGCTTCTTACACTGGCTTCACTGTGAATCTCTCCGTCCTCATGCTTTTGCATTAGACTAATAAAAAAACCTGTTATTCGGGCGAAACGTGGTACATATATATTATAGCATTTCACTGAGACCACATTTCGCCCCTGGTGGACGAAACGTTGTCTCGAAAAAAAAGGCTTAAATCGCCTATTATATCTAACATATTTGCAATATACTTAATAATAACTGGGGAATGAAAGGGGGGGAGGGTAATTAGGTTTGGCCCGAGGCAGAGGAGGGGAGCTCCGATTCCTTGGATAAAGAGTGAGGAAATATCTTACCTGAGGACGAGGACGAGTGCGGGCAGGTTACCCGGGGGGTGGAGGTAGAGGGGAGCATGGATGGTCGTCCCCGGGTGGAGGGGTGCACGTGGCACGAGCACATGCACCAGCGGGTCAGAAGACAGCTCGTCGTAACCGTGCGGGTCAAGGGTGAGCACCACCTCTCCCACGGGAGTCTCCGGTTGCACGGTCACTCTGGGCCCCCCCTGGGAGGTCCCCCCGGAGGCATCTCTGGAAGCGCACTCGCTGGGTCCCGGGGCCGTGCCCACCAGGTACGACACCTGCACGGCCACGCGGGGGATCTTGACGGTGGCACGGGTGTGCGGCGGCCACCAGCGGGCGGGCACGGCCAGAGTCACCAAGCACGTAGCGTCGCCGCCCGTCTCCCCGGCGCCCGTGGGCGTGCACGAGGCTGACAGCGCGTCGGAGCTCCGCCTGGCTATGACCGTAACGCACACGTGTGGCGAGTGGTGCCCCCGTGCCCCGGCGCCGTGCACCAGCACTCGCACGGCCGGGTGGGCACGTGTCACCTCCTTGTTGACCAGATGGGCAGAGACCTCGAGTTGGTGGGGCACTGGGGGCAAGTGTTGCCCGAAGACCTCCGTCTCCGTCACGTTCACGGGTTCATCGTCCGGGAATTCCGGCAGTACGTAGCGCGCCGGCACAGTCTGCTTCGTGCTGAAGGGGCCGTAGGTAGCGCGGATGAGCGCAGGTCGAGTGGGGTCGAGCACGGTGAAGCGCTCAACATCGAGAACTCCACCGTCGCTACCCACGCCAGGACCCAGCCCAGAGAACAGGTTCTCTTCGGGACGCAAGAAAAAGCCACTGTCAGGGTTCTGGAAGTGAAGGTCCACCGCCACGCTGCCTGTGTGGGAGACATAGTGACCTTAGTATGTGAGACACAGACCTTAGTGTGGGGGGACAAACCTGAGTGTGGGGGACACAAACCTGAGTGTGGGGGGACACACACCTGAGTGTGGGAGACATAGTGACCTTAGTATGTGAGACACAGACCTTAGTGTGGGGACAAACCTGAGTGTGGGAGACATAGTGACCTTAGTATGTGAGACACAGACCTTAGTGTGGGGGACAAACCTGAGTGTGGGGCACACAAACCTGAGTGTGGGGGGACACAGACCTGAGTGTGGGAGACATAGTGACCTTAGTATGTGAGACACAGACCTTAGTGTGGGGGACAAACCTGAGTGTGGGAGGCATAGTGACCTTAGTATGTGAGACACAGACCTTAGTGTGGGGGGACAAACCTGAGTGTGGGGGGACACAAACCTGAGTGTGGGGGGACACAAACCTGAGTGTGGGGGACACAGACCTGAGTGTGGGAGACACAGTGACCTTAGTATGTGAGACACAGACCTTAGTATGGGGGGACAGACCTGAGTGTGGGGGGACACAGACCTGAGTGTGGGGGGACACAGACCTTAATGTGGGAGACATAGACCTTAGTGTGGGAGACACAGAGACCTTAGTGTGGGAGACATGGACCTTAGTGTGGAAAACACAAAGACTTTAGTGCGGGAGACAGACCTTAATGTGGGAGACATAGATCTTAGAGTGGGAGACATAAACCTTAGTGTGGGAGACATAGACCTTAAAGTGGGAGACATAAATCTTAGTGTGGGAAACGCAGAGACTTTAGTGCGGGAGACAGACCTTAATGTGGGAGACATAGAAATTAGAGTGGGAGATATAAATCTTAGCATAGGAAACTTAGTGGGCGCGCAGTACGGCACAGAGTGGGCGTACAGGGCATGGAGTAGGCGTGCAGGAGGGCACGGAGTGGGCATACAGGACATGGAGTGGGCGCGCAGGAGGGCATGGAGTGGGCGTGCAGGGCACGGAGTGGGTGTACAGAGCACGGAGTGGCGTGCACGAGGGCACAGAGTGGGCGTACAGGGCATAGAGTGAGCGCGTAGGAGGGCACGGAGTGGGCGTACAGAGGCATGGAGTAGGCGTGCAGGTCACGGAGTGGGCGTCCAGGAAGGGGAGAAGGAATTGGCCACCACTACACTTTCATGTTAGTTTATTGATCACCCAACAACACGCACACAGCCACGTACACGTACACACACACACACACACACACACACACACACAAACGCATATCAATACACGAGGGTTTATACACATACATTTTTATCACACACGCATACCTACACACGAGAGTGTACACACCGAGGTGCACATACAAACACAAACACACACGCACACACACACACACACACACACACACACACACACACACACACACACACACATAAGCACAGCTATGTAGGTAAAGTCGAGAGGGTCACCAAGATGGTACTTGTAAGCCCCCATCACCCCTACGGGAATACCGCTCCCTAAAAATAATAATAATAATAATAATAATAATAATAATAATAATAATAATAATAATAATAATAATAATAATTATTATTATTATTATTATTATTATTATTATTATTATTATTATTGCCATAAAGATGCTAAGAATCAGGGGAGATATGATCCCGACATAGAAGATGCTCAGGGATGTTGATAGGTTAGACAGGGACAACCTGGGAGGAGTCAGAACGATACAAGTTGAGTATTCAACACTAAACTTTTTCAATTGCAAGAGTAGTGAAGTCTAAGAGGATGGAGCTCAGGAGCCGGAGCCTCGACCCCCCCTCCCCACATCCCGCAAGCACAGCAAGCTAATTACACATGCAGGCGTGCATGCCAGTAGCAACCAGGTCCGTCCTTGTCGTGATCACCACACAGGAAGGGAGTTAGAGGGGGGTGAGGGGAGTGGGGAGGGGTGAGGTGAGGGGAGAGGTGAGGGGAGAGGTGAGGGGTGAGGTGAGGGGAGAGGTGAGGGGAGGAAAAAAAAAACTCATAACAAGAGTACCTCAACATTTTCACCTTCTCTTCGTCCAGTATTTGGGTCGTCTTTCTATCTGTCTTTCTGTCTATTAGCATGCCACTGCGTCTGTCCGTCTGTCTTTATTACTGTGTCTATGTGCATGTCCCTGTCTGTCTGTCTGTCTGTCTGTCTGTCTGTTTGATCTGCCTCTGTCTGACACGGTGTAACTGTGTCACTGTGTGTGTATCTGTCTCCAACCTGAGGGTGTACACACACACACACACACATACACACACACACACACACACACAGCTTTAAGAAGAGGTATAACAAGGTTCTTAGAGCAGAGAGAGAGTGCACCTAGTATCGACCAGTGAAGAGGAGGTCAGGAACTTGGAACCACAAACAGGTGAGCACAAGAAGGTGAGTTCACATACACACGGTGGATCGAAGGAACACTGCGAGACTAGATCTGTTTTTTTTTCTGAGTAAAACCGACATTAAGGAGCCAGGAGGCAGAGGTAAGAACGGAGAGAAGATAGAACAAAGAGAAATACAAATAAATATCAACTATTAGAGAGATAATTACGCAAGAATAACTTCCTGAATGGAATACAGTGGGGATGGGGGGGATGTATTCTAATGTATTGTATAAATTGCTTAGTTCGTGTGAGTCTATCACTGAAACAAAAAGATTAGTGGGAACACGATCCTCCTTCCACTATTCACAGCCCGGCCTCTGATCGCAGTGATCACCTCTTCAGTGGGAAGGAGAAGGGAAAGGGAAGACAGTGCATGAGGGGACGAAGAGGCTACCAGAGGCTAATTGATACCGACAAGGGAAACTCAGAAATACGAAGCCAGAGTAGAGAGTATTCTCTGGCTGGAAGTGTAAGAGAGACCGCGAGTATCAAAGCCTGCAAGAGGAAGTAGGGAATCAAAAATGAATACGCAAGAATAAGAAGGAAGAAGAAAAAAAGACAATTCGCAAATGACACAGTAACAACAGCAAAAACTAAGTGAAAGCTGAGGCATAACAGGAGGCGACAGTAAAGAACCAGATAAAAAAAGAATAGGATTGAAATGAAGTGGCTGTTGTTACTTCATCCATAACGCGAAGAACTGAATAAACATTTCAAAGAGATCTTCAATAAAGGATTAGAGAAAATTGGGAAGAGAGGGGAGAGGAGAGACGAGCAACGAAGATTGGGGAAGGTACAACGAGAAAAAAGGAAAAAAAACGAGAGAGCTCCTAACAAAACTAGATACAAGGAAAGTAGATAAACGTGACACATAAGTAGCGATAAGGAGCAGAGGAACCGCAACACACAGAGAGGATTTAGAAGTTGATAGACAGGGACAGCTACAGGACAGCTGGAAAATAGGAAATGTAAACCCTCAGGGCTGGTAGGGAACCTCAACACTGGTGAAGCCCTCAACATTAGTAGGACCCTCAGTACTTGTAGAACCCTCAGGAATGAAAGGAATCTGTGTCTCTAAGATCCCGTGGACTAGAAGAACCCCAGAGAATTAGAAGGAACCCCACAGGATTAACAAGAACCTCACAGGATTAACAGGAACCCCGCAGGATTAACAGGAGCCCCACAGGATTAACAGGAACCCCACAGGATTAACAGGAACCCCACAGGATTAACAGGAACCCCACAGGATTAACAGGAACCCCACAGGATTAACAGGAACCCCACAGGATAAACAGGAACCCCACAGAATTAACAGGAACCCCACAGGATTAACAGGAACCCCACAGGATTAACAGGAACCCCACAGGATAAACAGGAACCCCACAGAATTAACAGGAACACCACAGGATTAACTGGAACCCCACAGGATTAACAGGAACCCCACAGAATTAACAGGAACACCACAGGATTAACTGGAACCCCACAGGATTAACAGGAACCGCACAGGATTAACAGGAGTCTCGCCTGGTAATTTTTTCACCAGTACGGCCACAACCAGCACCACGACAACTTTTTTCCTCCTCTCTGCTCATAACATGAGTGACGGCTGACCATCACTCCAAAGCTGCCAGAAACGCTTCTTTTAATTAAATCTAGGGAGAGAGGGAGAGTGAGAGAGAGAGAGAGAGAGAGAGAGAGAGAGAGAGAGAGAGAGAGAGAGAGAGAGAGAGAGAGAGAGAGAGAGAGAGAGAGAAACTAATCTTCACCACGTTTCTCGTCTATCATATCTGCAGAGTTTCTCCGTATTTTCTGTCTCTGTCACTCTCTCTCTCTCTCTCTCTCTCTCTCTCTCTCTCTCTCTCTCTCTCTCTCTCTCTCTCTCTCTCTCCCCTTCCCTCTCTAATACCGCTCAAATATCTCATCAAATTCTCCCTTTGAGAATCCGGATATCAATTTCACGAATAAAATTAAATTTTTGTTCGAACACTGCGCGATGGCTTATCTGCATGTTTCGCTTATCCGGATAGTCCACGTGTTTTATCCAAATAATAATGATGATGATGATGATGATGATGATGATGATGATAATGATGTGTTTTGGTCTCGTGCTTTCTTTTTATAGATCAGTTATCTGTAGCTTTTTCGGCTACAGATAACCGACTGTTGTTGTTTTTGTATGTCGTTGTTGTTGTTGTTGTTGTTGCTGTATGTCGTTGTTGTCGCTGTATGTAGTCGTCGTCTTTGTTGTTGTTGAATAACATTAATGCTATTGTCGTATTTCGTTGTTGTTGTATGCCGCTCTTGTTGTCGTATGTCTCTATTGTTGTTGTATGTCGTTGTTGTATGTCGCTGTTGTATGATGTATGTCGCTGCTGTTGTTATTGTTGCTGTATTTTATATATCGTTGCATGTTGCTGTCCTATATTATTACTGCTACTATTTTATTCCAGTTAAACGTTGTAATTGTTTATTGTCATTGGTTCTCTTTATTTTCGCGCAGTTTCATGTTCATGGCCTCAAACACAATGAAGATTTTTTGATAACACACTCAGCCAACGCCAATATTTACACACCAAAAAAAAGGTGAACGGTGGAGGC